GTAAAAGTGGGCACAACTTTATTAGTAGATCACAAGAGTGCTTTGAGAAATTATCTGTAGGTAGTGTTAAGAGTGATTCTTATCTTTTTTCTCAAGTAACCCTTCTAGAATGCTACTAGACCATTTGTAGTAGTTTTTATTTAGTCTTGTAGACAGTTTTTAGATAATTTATAGTCTATGATAGTTTTCTTATGCTATTTTAAAACCAAAATATTAAAGCGTTACAAACATAAGACGCAATTCTCTTAATACTAATAGATTTCAAGTTTAATGGCTTACGAAACATAAACTGTCAAATTTGCAACATGGCGAAATTAGATATAATATTACTGACTTTTTCGCGCAATGTTTAATCGTTTAGAAAGCGCGAATTGACGTGCGACTTTAAATACATTGTGAAAAGTAATGTAAAACCTATCATAAAAGTAATGCGCACGCTGAATTTTAAATATTTATAAAAATACAGTTATCGATTTTCGGTTTTAAATATTCACAGAAAGCATAAATATACAAAATAACTCACAAAACAAACCATTTTCATGAAGTTCTAGGCTTCTTTAAGCTAATTTCAACTTAGATTTACTTTTTAAAAGGAAAATAAATTTTTCTCGGCTACTTCATAGTCATTCTTTAAAAATAAAAATGGCGATAAAAATTTAAAGTTGGGAGCATTGGGATGGAGAGACTGTTGGGAGCATTTTGTCTATAGCATTATCTATAAAAAAACTTTAGAATACGAAAAGATTATTTTTACTTGCTTTAGTGTAGTTGATCTTGTAGAAGAATATTCATTCTTAAGAAGCTTTTATGACTGTCTACAAAACGCAGTGTTTCTAAGCGATTTTTTCTTTTCACAGTATTACAAAACCTTTATAAGGAGTAAAAGTTAAAACTTGAATGGTGAGCGTGTTATGCAATAAATAACCTTTCACAAGTAACCCGAGGTAATTTTTTTTCACGGTAAATTTCTCGCAAAAAACGTTATTCTGTATAATTATATGGAATGTGTTATATATTACAAAAAGGTGGATAAATTCCCTATCAGATAAGGTATATTTCAATGATATACCTAACTTATGTTGGAAAAAATAAAATTTTCATTAGAAAATTGAGGTTATTTCTTCACGCCAACCACATTTCACACAATGATTTCACTGTATTCTATTGATAGACGGCACAATACACATACACAACTTGGAAGTACAGTAGTTTACGCGCTCATTTCAATCTTTTTTATCACTTCAGAACACGAATGACACTCACAATTTGTTTGTCAACAAATAAATTATAACGTACTTTTTTCACTTTCGATTGGAGATTTGTTATTTATTTTTTGACACAATATACTAGTTTCTACTTAACTTTCATGTTATTGTTATAACACTCTCTAAATTACACTAAAATTATTTTTTCTATAGTCAAAGCTCATGTATTTTGTTAAAAAAGTACATAAAAGTGTTTGCAATTTTGCCGCATTTGTACTCACAATTTATTAATATTTTTTTCTACATAGAAAATTATTGGAACTATACTGTAAGTAACCCACGCATGTTAAATTTTCGTATATTTTGAGATAAAAAATAAAATGTATATTCTCCATACAAAAAAAAAAATTTTTCTCCGAAACTATCAACTTTTCAAGAAATTATACAAGAATAAAAGTTGTTAGGAATGTTATTATCTATCATTTTAAAAAAAGAATTAGCTCGATACTCCACAAGTTATTCCTATCTCCAAGAATTATCAAGTTGGGCCCACTGTGCGTCGGTAACCTTCAGAGCACGCACGCGAGTCGCGAGGGATGGGCGAGTCGAGTTATTTAACTTGAGTTGCTCCCACAACGAGTCAACTCGAGCTACACTTTGTAAAGCTGGCTCGGTTGGTTCGGTGACCTTCAGTCACGCTCGAGTCGCGGTCGGACGGCCGATCGCGTCGGTTCGAGTTCTAATCGCGACTCATGGTTGCACTGTCAAACACCGAGTCGAGTTAACTTGAGTTGCAATTAGAGTTAGCAGTCAAGTCAACTCGAGTTGAAACAAATACAACTCGTCCCATTTGATTACGTTAAGAAAATTAAACTAAATGCCATATAGCTACATAATTTTACAATATTTCAAAGTGTCGATTGCCGATTTACTTACACAGCTAACAAACAAAATCCTTCTTCGTCCTGAGTTATCTCCTTTAATATTTCATAGATGGCACTATGTTCTATGTGAAATGGGAAACAATTATATCGCGAAATACTTTTACATATTACTTGTAGCATTTAACATTTGGTGCGAAACGCGAAATAGCCGATTGGTTTAATGATGTTAGTTGTAGTTATGTTATAAATTATAATTTTGGTTACGTTTTAATTCGATTTTGACCTAATGGTGGAACGTTAGCAAAATTTTGTCTGGTGAAGCGATTTAAATTAAGATATAATTACTAGGATTTATTTAGTTAGTTTAGCGTTTATTTAATTAATAAGTTGTTGTAATATTTGTATATAAAAGTAGGAGAAAGTATTATTATGAGTGTAATTTACTGTAAATAACCAGTGTAAAGTTTTGTGCAAATTGTAAATAGTAAATTGTTTAAGTATGAAGGGAAGCTCATTGATTTATCTTGTAACGTGTAACCACCACGTGTAATAGTTGCAAAACAAATGAAGCCAGTCGTAACTAACCCTAAAAAAACTGTAGACTATTCTATAGATAGACTATAGATGCTATACTTAGCAAGTAAGCACGCGTCAACTATTTCACGTTTCTTTCCATTCGCTACATTATCACACGACCTTGAGCTGCTAAAAAGTATAAAATTTTAGCGCTATAAAAATATAGCACTTAGCGCGCTATGCAATTATGTTATATTTTTGTTAATCACATCTCTAGACATAATATCCGACGTTCACCACCTACACCAGATCTTTTATTCTTTACTTTATCCATTTTGCATGAACTTACAACGTCCAATAGAGTAGAAACCCTAAATATAGTGTTTTTTAAAATAAAATCTACTGAAGACGCGCTGTAACATGTTTGTTAATAAGTATAAATACTACAGAATGTCTATAAATGAAATATATCTAGAATGAACTTAAGAACACTAGTTTTTAGAGTATTAATAGGCTTTACTGGATATGTATAGAACAATTTTACTAAAAATAATCAATTGATCCACAAATGAACTTAAAATAAGTACTGTAAGAGTAAATCTTAAGAGAGATCACACTTAATTAAGTTGTATGGTATTAAAAAGGTTTTAAAATTTTGACTTGAGTGAAATAAGTCTAAAGAACAATTTCTTTTCTCTAAAACCATTTATAGAGAACTATTATCTAAACCTATACCATAGTAAGACTGTTTATAGATATAATAGTTTTGAGGCGTATAAAGTGTGCTCCTTGGGTACATTCCGAATCGCTTTGCTCAATTTTTCATTAGTCAAATAAGAATTATACAAAGAATTATACATAATTCGTTTTCACAGTTCTACACATTTTCGTCTGTGAAGTTATCCAATTGAATACTTTCAGTTATATTAAATTAGTTTTAATTAAGTGTCCGTTTTTACTGCCACATCATTTTACTCACTTTACAATTTTCAATAATTATAATCGAAGTCACAAGGTTTGGAGTTTTATTTTGCACCTGTATATCGTCTAAAGTCAGTGCAATCGTTTTCTCATCTTTTTTAGTATATTCAAAGAAATACCAAGAACAAGAGAATGATTTCTTATAGCCAGTTTCTATTGCGGAAGTCGTCTTTATGTCCATGGTCACCGTGACACCCTTGGGCCCAACTCGTAATAGGGCTTAAGAACCTTCAGTTTACCCTTTTGTCCGGTGGTGAATTGAAAGCTAAGAGCGTCCAACTGATACATATTCTTCAGAAAAACTAGAATATATAACCACTCATAATTCCCGACACAATAATCTTAATTTATAGTTATTTCAAGTTGTATTCAACAGATAGCAAAATTTGATATAGCGTCTATGGTACTACACAATTACTTAAACAAATTACTTTCTTATGTCTCGTTGTATTAAACCATGAATAGTACAGTGAAGTTATTAGAACAGGTCTTTGTCATATTATACCAAATTATTCTCATCAATACCGATTGTAGTTGATTATTCCATTCAATTGTATTTAAGCTGTATTCTATTGATTATAATGAGCGAATAGCCTTTAAGCTAGAATATTAAATGATGTCTACCAAACCTGGCAAGATTTGGGCCCATGGAATTGCAATGAACTCAGAAATCCCCGCAATTCTGCCACGGTGTATCGTGATCTCCAATCCACAAGTAATATAACATAGTAACTTTACAGAACGAATAGGTACCACGAACAACATGCGAAAAATGGTCAGGTTCAGAATAAGGAACTAAGTGCTATATATATGGTAAAAGGTTCGAACTGAAAAATTGGTGTAGATTGGCCCTTGGATCCTCTAGTAGATAGATAAAAAACTTCGCACGAAAACGGCGAAGTCGCAGTTCTTGGAAGAGACCTACCACCAGCTTGTTGATGTTAGTGTGATTATTCGCTGTTACTAACTTATCCAAAACCAAGTAATACCTGTGTATATGATTCTTGTATATTTAAGTTTTTTGTGATTGAGAAAAGCACATAGTCCACAGATTTCATCAGAGTCCGGGCTGTGAGTGTAGTTGTGAAAACTGTAGTATCTATGCCATTTGAAATAATCGTAGTATTTATTCTTGTCATAAATAGTATCATTCATTATTGATGCCAATATCTCCGGTGTCAGAGCAGTAGCATCTATATAAGATCCCTTAGGCAAGAATCTAAAAATGCAAGTCCTCAATTTAACAAGGTGAAGAATATTCTTGAAGAAGTCTTTGCTTTTATTGTGACATGTACGTGTGACAAACAAATTCAGTCAAAGTTCAGGTGGTGACCATACCCATTGAAACTTATTTCAATTCATTTTGCTAAAGTTGTTTGTTATCATTCATCCAGCTGAAGTTTGGCTGAAGATTTTAGTTATACCAGTATGGAAAATCAAACCTAGAATAATTTGCGCCTCCGAAAACGATCGGTATAGAATAATGTTGAGTAGCTGTTAATATCTTTTCAGTTACATAGTCATCGCACATTGAATTTTCAAACGCCAAATAGAAATAATAATCTGTTTCTATTGCGACATGGCACTCCTCGCCCCATAGCTGACAATATCTGTCTCCACAAAATCCAGTGATATCAATATTTAGATTATACCTAGACAATTCAGGAATTAGTTTTTCGACAAATTCTTCACGTCTACTTGGCGTATGACAATGTGATACATGCCACGCTGCAGCTTTATTTTTAGTTTGCAATTTACGTTTGATGTCATCACTTATAGGTTCCATATCGTTGACATCAATCCATTTAACGTCAACTTTAGGCGCTACAATGTCACCTTTCTTATTTCTAACAACAAAAAATCTCCATGTGATGTCCGAATCGAGCTTATATGTAAAAGTGTAATTGAAATACCCATTGTAGTGTGAAGCTAAACGATACATAGCAGCAGGTTCGTTACTCATAAAAATATATTTCTGATGCGCTAGTCGTTTGGATGGTAGAATCGCCTCGTACTGTCTTAGAGTCATAACATTAAATAAAATGACGTCAAAGAGAGTAATATCGCTCAAAAAAGTTCTATTGCTAGTTATAAAACAATTTTGGAAGCTACAATTTTGATTAACAAAATATTGCTGTTCCTGAAAATCGTCAAGCATTGGTGTAAATTGCGGTTGTTCCCATATGAATATGTAGATTAACTTATTACTGTCGCTTCCTAATACGTAAAATAAATGAGAAAATATTATAAGAACGTAATTTGTAATAGGTTTTTGTCTGTACATTTTCATATTCATATGTAATCTTACGGCATTGGTAAAATACTGGTAAAATCTTTTCAATGTTTTGCGATTTACGGAGTAATTACTCTTCGTGAGTGTGCCATCAAAACTATTTGACCATTGACTTTTGCTAACAAAGTCAATGAACAAAACAATACTATGCTTTATTCATAGTGTACAATGTACTGAGGTAAATTCATTTGTTCCTTAATAAACTTCCGTAGGTAACTTAATTATTATTCAAAAATACTTGCTAAATTCAGTAAGTTGTTTTTTAGTTTTAGTTTTCGTTGGTTAGTTTGAAAAAAACATATGCCTACGCGATTAAAATCCGAAAACATAGTTTCATTTTCTATATGTAAAAATAGTGAAAACAAAAGAACTCGATACTTGTGAAACATGTTTATACTAACACTGTCTCTTGTTACATCTCCTGTTATACTATGTTTTAAGTAAATAAACGTATGATAATAGTATTATTATTAATAATATTTGTACTTTTATTTATTTCCAAAATTAAATGGAAGTTTTAAAGATTCACTTAAATAAGTCACTGGTATTACTTCTATACCAATGCATAAATACAAAAAAGCTTACACTATTTGGAATCTGTTTAAAAATTTCTCTATGAGAATGTGAATCTTGAGATTGGAAATGTATAGGATTTATATTTCAAAGTTTTCTCTTTTTATATACTCTCAAATTACATTTTTTCTGTGTAAATTCACTTTTTGTAAAATTTGAGTTTTTGTAAACGAAAAACAATAAATTCAAAATTTCATGTGACATTCCCGGATATTCCCATATAACCCAAAATATTCCCAAACGGAATATTGATCTACTTTAATTGAATGTTTGTATGTCGATAATGACTTATCGATAGATTATGGTACGACACTAAAGAAATCCGCCATTTGTTCGTTCAATTTTTGTTTAGGTATGTACGTTCATTCCGTAGTTAGGGCAGCTCCTTTCTTTTCTTTTTTTTCATTCCTCTAAGCTGTCCATGGTCAAACGAAACATTTGTTCTGCGCTCATAAGGGTCGAAACACAAAACTGCGAATTGGCGCGATGCGAATTCGTGTGGCAAGGCATCTCACTGCCACGGTTTGGGTGTGAACCATGCCTTCGACGATCGTCAAACGTACTGAACGTATTTTTTGAACTAGGTAGCGACATAGATCGTAAAAAGAGTGTTGCACTGCTGTTATTGATGCGATGCGACGTCGCATCGCAGTTTTGTGTTTCGACTCTAACTCCGGTCTACTCCCTTATGT